ATATATATATATATATAGAGAGAGAGAGAGAGAGAGCACTCCAAAATCACCTACCGGTTTCTGGTTTAGGAAAACTGCCTTTTTAGTAGTGTTCATGGTATCTTTTGAGCACTCCAAAATCACCTACCCCGTTTCTGGTTTAGGAAAACTGCCTTTTTAGTAGTGTTCATGGTGTCTCCATCGCAAAAATAGTTATAGATACTTAGTAGTCGTGTGCTGATGTGATGTTGGGAAGTCATTTTCAAATTTTATTTATTTAATTCAGTGGTAATTAGAATAAATATTTCTAAGAATATCAGGAGTTAAATTCTGGAGAAAAAATTGTGTTTCTTTAGCTAAAATTTCAAAAAATTTATCCATGTATTTCATTTCTGTTTTCATATAAACATGCCTTTTGTTTTATCAATTGCATGGTTTTTTGAATTGAAAAACATAATTACAAGAATTCAAATTATTTAAATTAAAAGGGAAACAAAATGTATTTCTCCGGCAAAAACTCTATTTTTTTATTAGAATAATGATTTAAAAATAAAAATTTATCATGATTTCAAAAGAAATTCCCAATAAAAAACTGATAATTTTTACTTAGTTATATGAAAAAAAATTGAGGAAATTACATTAAAAAATAATAAAACATATATTTTATTCTTGTTTGATCTTTACCAAAAAAAAATTAAAACTATAACTATAAAGTTTATATATAATTATTTATAAAATAATTGTTAACATTATTTTAAAAAGTTCTAATGTTGGTTAAAAGCATGATATAACCAGATGATTTTTTAAAAACAATTCATTGTAAAAATTTAGTTTAAAGATAATTTTATTTATTGGTCAGATTTAGGTATATATTAGAGGTGAGAAAAAAATTGAATATCCAATTAAATTGAGAAAATCAGAAAAATAACTAAAAAAGTTAAGCAAAAAAACTAAATTAATAAATTAGAAAATCATAAAAAATTCTAGTTTAGTTTGATTTTGATTTTTAAAATTTAAAATTAATTAAATCAAATTAAATCAAACCGATTCAATTAAATTAATAATTGAAAAAACAAGAATAAATAGTATATTTTTTCTAACGCTAAACCTGAGTGCATTCTCACTTCTCAGCCACCCCCTCTCCATGCTTTCTATTTCACATCTCTCAAATTTATCCTTTTCTCCTCCGTACTCTCATATCTAAATTTGCCTTCTCCTTCTCCCTGCATTCTCAATCTTGTGTCAACTCAGGTCCTCCCCTCTTCTCTAAATAACGAGTAATAGATTCTTCTAGGTTTCTTGAATTTTGCTGATTCTTGTCCAATCTCTTTGGGTATCCTCCTTCTGACTCGAGTTACTTGTATGAATATTCTAGTTTATTTTACATGGAAAAATACAATAAAAGATTTTAAAAATGTAGATCACAGCTATAATACTAAAGAGATGATAGAAAAATATGTCACTGTTAAGGTAGAAGCAACAACAGTCCCAACCAAATGCCTTTACGTAGCGCTAGGTTTAGGAGGAACAAAATCTAAAGACGAGAAGCCTGGTTTCTGATTAAGATCTTGCACCTACTCATGCCACTTTTAATCCTGGGCTTGGCTCTTGCCGTCTGAACCTACATTAAAAGAGTAGAGACTATGATCTATCCTTTTGAGGGGTCAGACGAGGATTCAATCAGTTTAATCCTAAAATCACTCTTTTGTTTTGTTCCTTACTTGCGTTGTGTTTATGTCAAAGATGCTTTAGTTCAGTATAAAAAATAAAAGTGAAGATAGTCTCAACTAAAATAATTTTGGTCTGAACCAGTTTGGAAAGAAAAAACCAAACTAAATTTTTATGTCAAAGATGCTTTAGTTCAGTATGAAAAATAAAAGTGAAGATAGTCTCAACTAGAATAATTTTGGTCTGGACCAGTTTGGAAAGAAAAAACCAAACTGAACTGATTTTTAGTTCGATTTAATTCAAAAAAAATTAGTTTGATTGTTTTATCTCTTTATTCTTGTAGATGTATAAATATATATACCATTAAATTGCAAAATCTTATGGCTACTACGCATTCTTAGTAATAATTTGTTATATATATATATAAGGACACCATTACTCTTTTCATTATTTAATAAGCAATTCATTTATAAAAAAAAACATTTAATTTATCAGAAGCACATCCAACGGGTCTGAGGACTAAAACCCAGTTTCAAAATTTAGATAACTGGCAGACGTTGAATTATTTTCCACAAAAAAAAAAAATTGTTTCATGAATGATAAAACAATTGATTTTTTCGATTGTTCCCTTATTCAAAGGTTAACATTTGTTTTAAAGTTTTTTTTTTTTTTTTGACGTCTGTGCTCATAAATTAAAAAATTGATTAGTATAAAAAAACATGTTATATTAATAAAAGGATTTGATTGAAAGAAAATAAAGATGTAAAATTGTAAATAATACATAATTAAACTATAATAAACTTTTGTATAGTTTAACCGACCTTGAAATTAATTTTTCCATTTGTTTTCGTCATGAATCCTCTCAAAAAATAAATAAATCCAATCATGCATTTAATTTACATGAAAGTCTACAAAGTGAACCTTTTTTTTTTGTTTCAACAAAAACAATCAAATTTAGATATTTGCATCTAGATGCTAATCAATTACTTTTTATTTTTTATTTATCTAAATGCCGTTAATTATTAATGCACGTTAAAGTATGATAGGACATGTTAATTATTTGCATCCACATGTGATAGAGGAACCGCTCTTTTCTTGTTTCTTAAAGCAACTCTCAAAGCAGTAAAATCCTCCAACATCATCATTCTTGCCGAAGAAGTTTGTGCTTGGCATTGTTGGCACAGTGGTTCAATTGTCTCTTCGAAGTTCTTTATTTATTTTTAAATTATTTGAATACATTGATATATTTTAAAAAACATTTTCTTACACACTTCAAATACATGTTGCAATATGTATTAAATCATTAATCTCTCATAGTTTAGTTTTGAAATTTCATATACCATTTGGTTGACTCTGTAAGATATTATATTTGTGATCGATTTACATAACTATACTTTATTATTATTTGACATGAAACTTATTAAATCTATGACACAAGTTTAGGATCTTGAGATTTATATTGTTTAGTATTAAATCATTAATCTCTCATAGTTTAATTTTGAAATTTCATATACCATATGACTCTATAAGATATTATATTTGTGATCGGTTTACATAATTATACTTTATTATTATTTGACATGAAACTTATTAAATCTATGACACAAGTTTAGGATCTTGAGATTTATATTGTTTATTTTAAAATTTTAATTTAAAAAAATTATCATAAATTTCTTTAGCACAATAATATATTTTTTTAACATTATTGTACTTTATATTTTTCAATAAATATTATATAGATACACAATTGGTGATGCTTTACAAATAACCCTAACATTTCCTCTTTAACGTTACTACACTTTATATTTTTCAATAAATATTGTGTAGATACACACGTGGAGATGTTTTACAAGTAACCCTGTATTCCAATCAAAATAAAGACCCAATTAAAACAATTTTGAAAAGAAAAGACGACGTTGAGACAAATAAATAATTTTAAAAGTAAAGAAGGATAATAAATATATGATGTTTTTAAAAGTATTTTTTATTTAAATATATATTAAAATAATTTTTTATTTTTTATGTTAACACATAAAAACTATTAAAAAAATATAAAAAAACGTCAAATTGATGTTTTTTCATATCAAGCACTCTTTTTAAACGCACTCAAGCACACGATGAAACGCAATAACAAATATCCTCAGATAAATAAAAGTAGAAGGGGTAAAAATAGTACAAAAGAAAAAGAAGAGGGACCAGTTTTGTCATATAATGTTGTTGCCTCCTTGCTGTGGATTTATCAGCAATCAGAAAATAAATCTTGGCAAAACCCACACTTCCCGTATACATAACAAACAGTAACCCATTACACACAGACGCACAAACAAACAGTGCCGTTACTTAGCACAAGCCCTAAACCTTGTTCTAAAATTCTGACTGTCATACTTGCGGGTCTACGCCTTCTCTCTCGGGTTTCCTTTTGCTTTTAAGCTCCATGGAGAGCTCTTCTTCTTGCCCATCCGATTCAAATCCGAAGCCCCCTGGTGCTTCCAAGTTCCTCTCCAATCTTCCCTCCCGCGGCTTCTTGTCCTCCACCGTCTCCTCCTCCAACCCAGTCATTCTCTTCTCTTATCAAATAATGTTTCTCTTTACTTTTAATTCTACTGTTTGGTGCTTAATTATTTTTAATATTTTAGTTGACATAGTTTTTTTTTTTTTACACACACACACACACACTAATCGTGATTTTTTTTTTTTTTACACACACACACACTAATCGTAAAGAGGGTTTTGGGGTTATTGACTGTAGGCCTGCATCTATTAGAATGGTGGAAATGTTTGTTGTAATTTGATATTTTTACATTGGGTAATTAACGTTAATGAGGATTTAGAGATTGTGATTAGTGGTAATGAGGAGAAGGAATCTTGAATTTTTCGATTGCTGCTGTAGGGTTTAGTAGTTGCATTTTTGTTGAGTAAGATGTTGGTGTAGAGAAAGTCATTTATGTGATTAAAGGTTATTAGGGTTGGCTTATTTGCTATTAGTGTCTAGTGTTTTATCTTTGTTTACGGCGTCTTCGTTTTATTCTTATGTGAATGTATGTGTTCTTTTCTAGTTTGCTGAGAGCTTGTTTGAATGCTGGTAATTTTATGCAGGGTGGGATGCGGGTTTATATTTGCGAGCATGACACGTCACCTCCAGGTCTATTTATGTTTTTAATTTTCTTGGTTTTCTAAACTTTGGTGTTTTAGGCTACGCTGTATCCAAAGCTGCTCTAGGAAAAATTCAATTTCTTTCTGGCTTTTCATTCTTCTGATTCTAGTTTTGAGATAACAGCGACACGGTCCCACATGGCTGGTTGAATTTCTTGTTTTAAAGAAGCAGCTCCTGCTGTTCCCCAGGAAAGAGAAAGTGTGTATTTTATTGCACAGTCTTTGTTATCTCCTAGTTTAGTTTTATACATGGTAGATTTGTAGCAACGTGAGTTTTCCTTCCTGGCTGAAATTCCAGGCATCATGAAGCTCTTTACTTAGATGGTATATGGAATTGAAGAAAGAATAAGCAAGCCAGCTCTTTTAGCTTTCAAAGCAATGGATTTTCTGGTAGCTTGCAGTTTGAAAATTTTGAAAGCACTTGCTATAGAAAATGTGACTGCTTTCTCCTATGTTTTACTTCTCTCATTTTTTTTTCTGTCCTTTTTTAATTTTAATCTTTTTGGGAAACAAAGGAGGGAAATGGAGCTTTTGGGATTCTGCCACATGCTACCTTTTACATTTCGCTATGGTTTTTTGTCCTTGATAAAATATTTCTGCCTGGGTTAGGTATTTGACTTTGGACAGTGTTTTGGAATACGAAAGTTAATCATGAAGTGAAATGAACTAATATCTCAAGCTGCTACAAAGATTGAAATTTGATTGGATTGAAGATTTCCAAACGTTTGATACTCTTCAAAGTTTCTTCTTTTTTTGGGTCCTTTCTCAGGCTACGCACTGAGGATTATTGCTCTTTATTCCTAAACACTCCCCTTTCCTGGTGGGATTTGGACTCAATCTTAAGTCCCTAGACTGAACTTCAATAGTCTTTACAAGACTAGTTACATAGCACCCCAAAGTTTATTAGATTTTACTAGTTATATTTATTAAATTAAACTTCAAATGCTGGATGTTTAAAATGTACCATGAGTTGATTATGATTTGCCTTTATGTGAACTGTAAAAGCTTGAACATAGAGATTCCCTATATTTATACTGTTATAGTCATTTGTCTATAATATTAGTTTTTCTTAGTTGTTATAAACAGTGTGGGAATCATGTCCATGTGTATTATCATGTGTTGGTATTGGGTTTTCTCTCTCATCCATATCACATGATTAATAAAAAAGAAGTATAATAAATACATGTTGAGATTATGTCATACTGTAATGTTTTGTTTGATATTATGCAATCAAAACTCCTGGGATTTCTTAAAGAGTGTGAGTGCATATTTGGATATTGGAAGAGCTGACTTCTTCTCCCTGTTTATTCAGAGGGCCAACAAATAAAGACTAACCAGACAAACATTCTGATAAGATCACTCCAGCTCAATAAACATAAGGGTGATTCAAGTTCGAAGGACGTGAAGGGGTTAACCGCAACTGAGGGTTCTAGAAAGAGGTATTGCTTCTATCTTACTGGATCAGGATTCTTCACATGCTTTGAAAAGATCTGCCTGTTTGTCTCCTATAAGCATTATACGATTATGTTGCAACCATATATTTGTGTTTCAATGCAGAAAGGCTTCCATGCTTCAGTCCCGTCCTGTCCCTGTTGTCTATAGTGATCCACATGGGCATTTATTTTATGCCTTTTCTTTTCTTGTTCTTAAGCTCCTTTTCATTTAGCTGTCAAAATGTTGTTGTTGGTGAATCTCTTTGCATATTTGATCATGTTCAGTCTTGACTCTTGCCGGTTGCTGCCAACATTTTTTCAGGGCTCCAGAAAGAGCTTTGGATTCCAGGGCGCCAGCAAAGAGAGGCAATAATCAGATTGGTTCTCGACAAGGTGATCTTTTATATTTATTGGACATGCTCTGTTCATCTTCAACTTATATATAAACTAATGGCCTCATCACTTCTATTTTGACTGAACCTTAAAACAGGTTTTGAGCACACAGAGGGATCTGATAGCCGCACATCAGATAAGGACTATTACAGTTTGACAGTAGAGAGGCTCCGGGCTCTCCTGAAAGAGCGAGGCCTTTCACCCAAAGGAAAGAAGGCAAGTATACAGCTTATCCGAATCTAATCTAGACTTCTTTGTTATGTAGTCATATGGGTGTTGTTGCTGATTAATATGCTGAAAGAGAGTGATGGTTACTTGCTACATATAGTGTATGTTTCATTGGTAGTTTGGATGCAAAGGTGCTGATTTGCATTGCACCATTAGTTCGAGTGGTGCTTCTCCTCCCGCTTCATAAGGTGGAGGCAATAGGTATGAATTGCTGAAAGGTGAACCCTTTGCCTTTGTGGGGTGTGAGGGTTGAAGGGAGGAGAAGGGTCTCCTTTTGACTAGCCAACAAACTTGTATACATATTTATTTATTTATTTTATCAGTCGGGGTGTTGTTGGGGCGTTCTCATATTGACAAGAAATGAAAATCATCATTCTCATTTTGCATGTGCCTCTACTGATTAGTGGTTTTGCATGTGCAGGACGAGCTGGTTGCAAGGTTGAGAGGTGTGTAAAATGTAAATGGTTGATTGTTCAGGTGCAGGGTTGAATATAATCTCTACGTGTGTACCATCGACATCCAGGATAAGGATGGTAGATGATTTTCTTTTCTTCTATGTAACTTGGAAAATATAAAAAAATGTTTAGCTTGGAAGTTAAATAAAACTTTCGCACAAGAACGAGCTCGCTGCTGCTCTTGAGAATCGCCTCTTGTATGGTTCTGTATTTTAAGCGGGTTTGGTCTTAGGTTCCAAGGTACACCCAATATTCAAGAGGTTACGTACGGTCATATGATTAGAAACTTAAAAGACTATCAGCACAATTTTTGGTGACTCAAATGTCTCTAGTTTGAATTAAAATTTTCTTTCCGATACTGTAGTCTAGTTTCAACATTGAGCAATGGCTTCAAATGCTGATACTTTGGATTTTCATCGGCAGCTCATCTATCTAAAGTTGTGTTTAAAAACTTGAGCATGTGATAAATGTAGTTTAGGATATGGCACTCCTAATCTCACGTTCAAGCTTGCAAGTTGTAGCTGATTCTTCGTCTCCACGGAGCTAAAACAAACTTACAGTTTTCTAAGATTAGAAGCTTTCTCATTCTTGTTTTCGGGGACTGTTCAAATGGTCCATGTTAGATTCATCAGATCAAAGCCGCAAGCTAGTCAAAAAACCATTTGACTGTAGCATGTTGACTTGTTTCACTGCCTGTAACTAGGTTTGTTATGATAAATGAGTAACTCCTCAAGATTTGCACTTTGCAGGGTGGTCTTGCTAAATGTAATTTGTTTGCAGTTTGTACGTTTCACATGATTGGCAGCACTAATACTGGAACTTGAACCGATGCCTGACAGAGCTCACGATATTCCTCTGATGGCCAGATTTTGGTCTGCGTTGAAATTTCTGTGTCTCACTCTTAACACGTCCAGTGCAATTCTCTTGGACAAAGAGGTGAGTCCTCGTTATGAGCTGACACTATAATACAACTTCTCCGGAAATGCTCAGAAGATGGCCACTGTAACGTCGACTTCTCTTTGTTTAGGTCAACTGCTACACAACTTCCTGAATGATGCAAGAAAAGGATATAAATATAGGTGGTGCATCTGTTTTTGTCCTTTTGTTTTTAATAATTTTCTCTTAGTTTATATGATAGATAGACTAGCTTTATGCACTTTCTTGTCTTTCTCAAACAGCCTTCGTTCTCCTCCTTCCATTTTTTTCAATTTTTATTTTAAAAAAAAAAGTTTAGATGAACATGAAGCTGAAGAAACCCAAACTCAAATAATCCTTGATGATGTCCAGCCCAAGTCTACCACATTTGTAGTTTGGGCTTAGAATAACCCTAGGGGAGCCATCACCCCAGGCTTATTGGGGGACTAGAGTTGGGCTTGGATCCCACCAACCCAAACAGCTAAAGTGGCGGGTTAAGACTGAGCTCACTATATTAGTGGCTTAGGCTTAGGGGGAGTTAAATTAATCCAAGCACACCGTCTTAAATTTTATAGTGTTACGATATTGAATTAAATTATTCTATGTACACCACCTTAAAGAAAGAAACAAAAAAAGATGACTATTACCAAACTAGGGATTGGTTGGCCGCACCCGCTACCTAGGTACGGAAGAGTAGCCAAGACAATTTGAAGCCACCTTTGGGACACCACAAAACCCCTCACACACTGCCTAAAAGGTGCAGGATAGCCTATATGTTGCTGCATGTCCTAACAATTTTTTATTTTAAAATAATATTTTTTATTTATTAAAATATTAAATTTCCCCTTATTCAACCTTCTTATAACTAAAAATACCAGAATGAAAATAGAAAAATAAAGCATTTATGAAAACCACGTAACAAGAAATCGTGTCGTTCTTCATGAAGCATAATAACCATGTTGAACTACAGCCTGATTATGAATTCCCATCATAAAACTACTCTATGTAACTGCAGAAATCAAACTAAATTGATGCAAAAGAACAGAAGTGGAATGGAGATCAAAATGGTATTACAGCAACTGAACTTCGTGCCACCTTTTTGACAATCTGACCATCTTTCATTCAAGAGCTACCACGAGCATCATTTACAGTAGACTTGCGATTTAGGTAACGAATAACAGCATCTTCAACCCTACACCAAACCAAAAAAAAATAAACAAACACCATTACTATGTGTTTATTTCCACTTTCCGTCTTCATTTTGCCTGGGCAAAACCAAACTCCCTTGGCAGGTTTCAAAGAGTAGAAAAGCAAACTTTGAATAGAAATATTAATAATGAATCATAAAAAGATTAAAAGTAAAGGTAAGAAACTGGAAAAATGCTTACCACGGCTGACTATAGAAACCAGATTGCTGCTCTTTTTCTGCATTGCGGCTAGCATCTCCAGTAACAAGCTTCAGATCATTGCTCTGAGAAGCAATTAATGCATTAATAAGCTCTGCTGGAGACTGGCTGAAACCAAGAAAGAAAGCCTGCCTCTGACGATGCTCATGTATTTTCTTTATAGAGTTACATATCAATTCATCACAAGCATCAATTTCTTTGTTCCTCTCTGTGCTGGTCAAGAATGCAGCAATGTCCTTTTGCAATGGCAAAGGAACATCAACTATGAAATCATAGCAAGCAGTTCCAGCTGGGCAATTCCCTGAGAGCTTGATCAAATGTTCCAAAAGAATAGGCTGTGGAGGAGTTAAATGCAGACTTATCCTCTGTAGTACCTGAGAAAATTTCATTTTCTCTTCCCCGAATAGTTTCTGAAGAGGGGGGTCACATGTGAAAAAGGAGGGATCATTTGGGTTCTGCAACTTCCTAGACTTCACATAATGCCATATTGCAACCAAAATTCTAGGGCGAGTCTCTACCTCGATTCCAAGGATTTCTGATAGAGTAGGTGAAAGCTTGAATTTCTCAGGCACATAATTCATTTCTAGTCTAATTCTTGCAGTAAATTCCTTATTTCCTTTTCTCTTAACCTCAAAGCCCTCATGAAGAACAGGTGACCGTGTGCTCTCCCATAAAATTACATGGTTATCTGGATACAGGCTCTGGTCCAAGTATATTGTAATTTTCTTGAAGTAAGATGAGAATTTTGGATATGGTTTCTGGGTCATTCCAGTCAGCACAGGGTCCTTCCCATCTTCCAATATCCTCCCAATAATTTTTAATGACCAAGAAGGAGGCTCAGCACTCTTCCTCTCATTAGACCCTTGCACCTGATTTTCAAAAGTGTTAAATACATATACCCGAAGCGTTTTCCGAACACGGGATGGGTTTTTAAGTGACTCTTAAATACCCATCTTCTTTCTTCCCATAGCGTTATCCACTCTAGCCTCAAATTCAAGCAGCTGGTTATAAAGCGCAGACTCTGGCAAAACAGGTACCACCTTATCAGGTATCTCCTTCTCATTAAGCTTCCTTTTCTTCCTACGAACAGCAGGAGCCAACTCCATGGTCTTGAACAGCAAAGCCATGTTGGCATTCGATGAACCAGATGAAGACCTTGAAGGTGGTTTATAGCTAGTCTTTTTAGCACTAGAACTGCTGGGTGTGGGCACAGGAGGTGATTGCACACCAACATTAGCAGAATTAGCATTTTGCAACTGAGCAACAGAATGGTTGGTTGATTGTATATGAGATTGAAACTGAGTATGAGCTGCCTGTGCAAACTGAGTGTGTCCTAGCACCCGAGCTTGTGGTTCAGACAGCTGAAAGTGGCCAGGAAATGCAGGCCCGCCTTGTGTTTGAGGTTGTGACTGTGAGAGCAACTGCGGTGGCTGGTGGTTCACGTGCGTAGATTGTGCCATTGCCCCAGGATTCGCAAACGAGGGTGGCAACCCAATACTTCTTACAGGATTGTTACTATTATTATTCATTGGAACCCTAATCTCATGCGGCAAAAATCTCTCAAAACTAATCAATTCTACATCCAAGAACAACAAAACCCCAGACAAGCCCTCATAAACCCTAATAAAACAAAAATCAAATTCTGGGTTTTCAAAAACAACCCAGAATTTCACGCCTTTAAAGTGTAAGAACAAGCTTAAACAAGAAAAATAGCTTGCTTTTAAACAAAACTTCAAAACCCTATCTCGACGATCAAACCCCGAGTCTAGCTCGAAAGCTTTAAACTAAACAAACACCAACTAAATCTCTAGCTAAAACATAATTACAGGAAAACAAAGTCAATAACTTTGCTTTCATGTGATTCTGATTTTCTTTCAAGACACTACCTACGCAATGTGTATATCTCAGATACAAAATTATATATATGCAATTAAAAGGAAAAGCTTACAATGACAAATAGAGAGGCTTTGCACCGACTTGTTTTGCTTCTGCTTTTTTTTTTGGCCAAAGTTTCATTCTTTGAAATCTGAGAGAGCCAAGCTCTGGTTTTCTTTCAGTTTCCTCCCCAATTTTGTGCTTATTTATTTTTTGGAGATACAAGGACGTGAATACCCTTGTTTTAAATAACTTAGGCCCAAGTAAAATGGCCCTGATTCTTATTTGAAGGGGCCCAAAAAAGAGAAACCCTAGCTCCATTTTATTAGGGTTTTTTAGCTAATACACTCTCTTATGTATCATATTACTGCGGCATTTCTCTTTTTGTGGCCACCGAAGAATAGACAGAAGCTGCAGCGATGGTGGGTTTGATTAACTTTGCCTTTTTCTTAATTTAGATGAAGAAAGGAAAAACCTTTCTCTTTCAAGCAATGAAGAAGCTTAGATCTTTGCATTTTGATTTTTTGTGGGACAACATAAAGAAGATAATCTCTTAGAATTAGTGGAAACAGTTTAAATCTTTATGGTTTTATGTGTTTTTGTTTTTCGATTTCTAATGGGATCCCTTTTGTTAAACGTTTCAGGTGAAGTATTCAAGAGAACCAGATAACCAAACCAAGTGTAAGTACATGAAGTTTCATTCTCTTTTTTCACATTTAAAATAGTGAAAGGGAAATCTGATTTTAATGTTATGGCTGCTTTTTCAGCCTGCAAAGCAAGGGGATCTGATCTTCGTGTTCACTTTAAGGTATGTTGTGTGCTATACAGTACTTTCAATGTCTTGGCTGTAGTGTTGCTGATTTTGCTGTGTCTAATCGACTGTAGTTTTAGCTAGCAATGCTTTGTTAATTTGATCATGCGTGCTGCCACAGTATACAGTTTGCCTTGTGTTTTTGCTTTGAATTTATCTCGAACTGATGGGCTGTTGATGTTTTCTGATATTTTTTCATAAGCAAGCATACCACTGCTTCACTGTTTTTTGTTGCCAACATTTGAATTTGGCATGAATAGCCATGTCATTCTTTTTTGTTGGAAAAATCGTTATGCAGATGCAATGTAAAGGTGTCAGTTGAAGTAGATGGTAGCTATACTCTGAAATAGTCAAAGTGTGAATGGTTAAAATTTAATGATAAAACTGGTTTCCTTCCATCATCTGAATGGTTTGTTCCTTTTTCTTTGGTGGCTAATAAGAACTTTGAACTTCTTCAATGGTTCTTTTGATTTATTGTTTTGTCATGCAAAATATTCATGTGTTGCTCAGTTCCGATTTCTGCATATGGGATTTGGGCTTAGTAAAATTTGCATGAGATTGAGATCTTTTACACATAGAGAGGGACTTGTAATTGAGTTGGCCATGCAATGTAAGCCAATTTTATTGTTGCTTTTTTCAGTTTCATTTTGTAGTTCATGTGTAGGACTAGGGAAGGGGGATTGGTTATAGGAATCTATTGACTCTGTGAATGGACTTCTTATGAGACTCAGAAGATATGCATTCTCCTTTCTATGAGTTTTGTTAGTTACTGTAAGATTGTTCACTAATTGCACAGTGTTCAGAGCTTTAATGGATTTGATAAAATATGGATGGGAGTGATATAAGTCATAGAATTTGATCTTTTGAACTTTCTTTAATAGAGCTTGTGGGAATTCAATGATCCTCTTGGCCTTCCAAACTTTTCCACAATCATTTTTTTCCTTTTGTGCATTGCAATTGGTGAAACTGTCTGTACTGGTACCCATGGTTTCTTATTTCACATGAGATTTTATAAAGAGCTCTTATTGTCTCTGGTACCTAAATTATTTTTTGATAAAGATGCGATGACATGTCACTTTGTTGAAATTGCCAAATTGTCTGTGCTGACTCCAGTATTGCTATTCTCTATCTCAGAACACAAGAGAGACTGCGTTTTCAATCCGGAAGATGCCTTTGGACAAGGCCAAACGGTACTTGGAGGATGTTTTGGCACACAAGCAAGCTATTCCTTTCCGACGTTTCTGTGGCGGTGTTGGGCGAACTGCTCAAGCTAAGAACCGTCACTCAAATGGACAAGGACGCTGGCCTGCTAAATCTGCTAAATTTATCCTTGATTTGCTAAAGAACGCTGAAAGCAATGCTGAGGTAGTTACTTTTCCTGGGTTTTATTTTGGCTATATTTTACTGTAATGTTTGCTTCTTGACCTCATGGATATCCCGTCTAATGTTTGTAAATTTTATCTGCTTTCTATTTAGGTGAAAGGTTTGGATGTTGATGCACTTTACATATCACATATCCAAGTCAATCAAGCACAAAAACAGCGTCGCCGTACTTATCGTGCCCATGGAAGGATAAACCGTGAGTCCATTCAATCAAGTTCATTTTTTTCCTGCCTGTCTTCTCTATTTGAACAGGGGCACTTAATAATGATGTGTGATTGCTATGGCAGCTTACATGTCATCGCCATGTCACATCGAGTTAATTTTGTCTGAAAAGGAAGAACCTGTCAAGAAAGAGGTAATACTCTGAAAAATGATGATTCTGTTGAGTCATAGTTGATTTAAAATTTTAGATTGATGTGCATTACTAGCTGTGCTCATTGGGATTGTTGTGTTTTTATTATTTTGCCTTACCTGGAATGTCTTTTTTCCAGGCTGATACTCAGATTGCTCCTAGGAAGCCTAAGGGTGCTCTTCGTAGCGGAGCTTCCTCCTGAAAAGCTTTGGGCAGATTCAGGATAGTTGCACCATGAGAACATTTTTGTTTTTTCTTCTGTTGAAGCAGCTTATCAAACTATGAATTTATATGCTAAGATTTTGTTCATGAATTTGATATTTGATGTTGGAATCACAGAACTTTTTCATTAAACAGTAGTACTTGGCTTCTATGAGGATTTTGGTTTTGTGATCTTACTTGCTAGAAACAAAAATCTAGTTCCAGTTAAAAGGATCATTTGGCTTCTGCATAGAGCAATAGATACGAGGTGCTGAGCAAGTAACCGCCCGATTGGTGTGATTTTGCTTGTCAAATATCACCACTAGAAGAAACAATCTGTCTTTAAGGTGCAAAACTAATTTGTTTTATTTTAAATTAAGTTTTTTATTAAATCATTTTAATATGTTGATATTAAAAATAAATTTTAAAAAATAAAAATATATATTTTTTAACTTTTTTCTAAAGAAAATTAACTGTTAGAAAATTTTAAATTAATTCTCAACATAAAATAAATTTTAAAAGATATGTAAATTGTTAAATAAAAATTGAAAAGCTATCTTTAGATGCGTAAGCCAGTGTTTGGTTTTATATTTTTATATAACTTTGTTTTGTTTCGTTTTGTTTTAGAATTTTGGTTATTAAGGTTATTAAGAACAAAATATTTTTGTTTTTATAAATATATTTAAAAAACTAAAAGTCTCTTTAAAATATTAAACAATTAAAAAGATTGATCATTTTTTTTTTTAGATATGGTATTAATTAAAATATAAATAAAAAATAATGAAAAATTAAAAAACTAGAAAAGCCAGTGTATCCGGCCAAGAATGAAAAAAAACCCAAAAGCTAGGCGCGAATCCGA